CAGTTTGGTAGTGGTGTCCAAACAAATTTTAAAACCTCCTCCTGCTCCTGGCATATTTCTTTTTAGAAATGACCAATGGAGAAGCCAATAGATTTCTATAAATCACCGTTGGATGAAAAGGAGGCTTGAAGTTGTTTAATATTACAGATGTTTTGGAGCTCTATTCAGTAGTTGGCAAGTCACACGAAGCTGCACCGAATTCTTTATAATCTAGACACAAAGATCATTGAACTCTGAGAGAACCTCTGGGCTTTTATTCAAAAATATGTTGGCTTCTATTTACCTCTTTCTTCATTTGTATCTATCAAATGGCTCAATATATAAATAAAGCCCGGGTGTTCTTATTAGCTAAGGCAGTATTTCATGCAGATTAATGCCAGCAGGTTTTGTAAAATACATCTCTATTCAAAGCTGGAGTATGTTTTGAATTAATTTTCATCCTGCATATGAATCAGGTATATTCTACTTCAGTTCTTATGCAGGGCTCAGCTGCAGCATATAGGAGGGACCTGTAGTGTTTAATTCTAGTCCTATCACCCTTCTTCAGCAAAGCACTTTTAACCCTAAGCGTCTGCATAATCCCATTGACTTTACTGGGAGTACTCACGTGCTCAGGTATATTAAAATTATAATTGAAAACAGCACCTTGCTTTCCCAGGGCCTGAGTGACATACCTAGCATTTTACTGAACAAGCTTATTTAAATATTACCTCATGCATATGTTATGAGCAAATCTTTCTAGTTCAATAAAATCAGGCTTATTGTTATTGAGTAAAAAAAAAAACACCTTACTTTTCTTTGCCTCCAAAGCAGGCTGAAACTCTCACATTAAAGTGAAAATATTGTGTTGGCTAAAAGTACTTTGCCAGATGAGCCAAAACACAGCAAGATATTAATCTGATGCTGTTCTTAATAGAATAATGGGCAATGGGATTTAATGGGATTAATAAACTGACTGTTTTAAAGAATGCTTTAGTCAACTACCCGCTAGAAATTCAACATCCCACATAGGATATCTCTACATTTGGCTATTTTTGCCCATGTTAAATGGATTGTTCAAATAATCCCAGTTTTGGAGTGGTTGAGTGGGTTTTTTCTGTGTAACATAAACACCCTCACAAGCAAAATCCCTCCACTGAGGCAGTAAAACTGTGACGAAACCAGAGAATGGAGAAAATATATATATAAGATTACAGCGGATCACACGCAAACTGTTTGAGGCGCTCCAGCGTGATTTCATTCCCATCCTGCGGAAACTCTGCCTAGTGTGCTCTAATAATGGAAATGTTTGGATTAGTCTACGTTCAATCCATTTGCCTCAGCGCCTCACCAAATGTGAGCTACGCCATCAGTCTAGATGACTAACTATTTGTAATTTGGTCGTAGCTTTCTTGTAGCTGTGGTGGCCTGAGGTCGTTAGCGAGGCGAGGTTTGTGGGAGACGCATTACTAATGTATTAGGCCAACTGATCTGGTTGGAAACACTAATGCAGCTTTTTGGATATGCAAGCTCTTCATCAGGATAGACCAGAAGTGTGCCTAGAAGCTCTCCACTCTCATCCTCCTCTCTGCTCGCCTGGAAGGGCTGAAGCCCTGGGCTGCAAGTCAGCAATGACCGTATCTTCAGACTCGGTGGAGGTCCGTGACTTGTTGTTGGGCACTACTTGGACTATAGCACTGCTAAGTGAAAAAAAGATATCACTTAGGCATCTTGCAATCCACACATAGAGGACAAAGCAGTCGGGGACATGTTAGCAGGCAAGGAGTGAAAAGATAACAAGCGATAAAGAGGATGAGAACAGACTGTTGTCACAGAAAAGAGGAACAACGAAGGCAGCTGCAGAGACACAGGCCTTCCCGTGTTTTATACCAATTGATGCTCATTTTAGCGCGGCAACTACAGGTTTCCCTACGGGGTGACTAGCAAAGACACACCCAACTTTGGGTATGCCCTCCTGGCCTCTTTCACAGTGCTCAGACTAAATATGCACATCTGGATTTCTGGGTTTATGGTGGCACCAGAACTTTCAGCTTTTTCTGATGCTGTAGGTCTCCGGGAGTCTCAGAGATGAGTACTGCATCACGACTGCTGTGGTTAGAAAGTCTCAGTGTGCTGCGTCTCTAACAAAGAATTTCTTTTTCCAAAATATCAAGTATTTGGGCATGTTCAGTGTGTGTTAACAAATGTAAAAAGAGGCAAAGAATTTTTAAGTGTATGGCTAAAACATAAATACCTTGTCCTCTCAGTGGCATAGCTCTTGGTCTTGACTCCCACTGGCTCTTGCGGCCACTGGAGTCCTTTAGACTAAACAAGAGCTGAATTCCTAGAGTAGAAGGTATCATAATAAAATCAGATATCAAAACAAAACCAGATCAAATTAAGTTAAAAATCTGGCCACCTTTCTTCTTCCCTGTCGTTTGCTGGTCACCCTTCGAATCAGAAGAAAGAGGCGGGGTTCATTTTACTGATAGCACCCAGAAAGACAGCGATGGCTGCTTCTGAACCGTCCTTTGTCCAGGAACCCTTAGCGGGGAAAAGGGGACCTTGGGTTGGTAAATGGGAGTCGTCTTAAGCCGGTTACGGGAGCACACACACCCCCGCAGCCGAAGGATGCCCCAGCAAGCCCTGCCCCTTCCTTAGGGGAAACAGCCAAGTGTGAGCATTGCTCACGCTTTCGGGGGCACCGTGGCCCTGAGAAGGCAAGGAGGGAGGAGGAAAAAAAAGAGAGAAAAAGCAGAAATCGGGCTGCCAAACGCGGTGACTCTGCGGGGCAGGGAGGCGGCCGGCGGGGCGGCGGCGGGGAGCGGGGTTGCGGGAGAGCGGGGAAGCGGGGGAGAAGGGGAGCAGGAGTGCAAGGCGAAAGGCAGTTTTTTTCTCTTTGAGGTCCTGTCATTCCTGTATAAACAAGTTACGTTCAAGTGTTTAAGGATATAAATTACGACCATGCAGGCTTGCCTCGGAAAGAATGTAAACACAGCACTGTGGTCGGAGCAAACTCTGAAACTGACTCTATAATTTATCACAGGCCCTGAGAAGCTCGGGGAAGAAAAGGGCATGTTTGAGCATAAATAAGTATTTAAAAAGATGAAGAGCTTTATCTCTCTCTATAACTACGTAGACGCAATTTTATGCGTACCTGTGTATGTATGCATTTCTGCATATACGTGCACGCACACATATACCATTTCGCTGAAACTCTCGGGGCTGGGGAGAGGCGGGGGGGCGCGGCGGAGCTGCCCCGGCTTGCGGGGC